CAAACCAGGTGGTTGCTCCATATAAAACTTCATCCTTAAGGTCACCGTGTAAAAAAGCATTGTTAATGTCCAGCTGATACCATGTGAGAAAGCACGGGAGAAAATATATTATTGATGTATTGACATATGTTACAATGAGCCCTATATATATACACACATAACATGTCCTACTCCTAATATATATTGGATTAGGGTTATATTTTTACTCCTATTTACATGACTATTCTAACAGTTTACTTGGTTCATATTTGCTATGTATCCTAATGATTATCTACTCAAGATCTATAATATTCTGTATAGATTGGACTTTCAGCTTCAACAAGCGCTTCGAGTTTTGGGAAGGCCATTTCAGAAAACAAGGAGCTTGAAGATTATAAGCCTGAAGATATCTCTCTATCCCTTCTGCGATGATTTCATACAATATTGGTCAGGTATCCCATATAAGATCCCTACAATTCTATTAAAGCATTTACTTCAGTTTGATATATTAGGGTTAAGTACATTTTAGTCTTATCCTGTTTTGTTCCGCAAGTGACAGTTTGTGACAAATTTGTAAATAATAGATCTCATTAGAATGGAACTGGAAGAAGAAACCGTTTGTTTGCATGCTTCTGTAGTTCACATTCTAGAACATCAACATTTACTATTACATATGACCGACATCTTGTTAAAAGTTTTAACCTACAATAAATAAACAAGATGAGTGCCTGAATAATTGAGAATCAGGCAAATTTCTTCCTTGATTTATACCTTTCAAGTTCTCCATAGCAAGATACCATGTATTATTTTCAGTTGTTCGTTATTAGCTTATTTACTTTATCCTAAAAAGGAAAAAGTGGTTAGCTATATTTCTGATTCCTTCCCATTTTAATGAGAAATGAGTCATTGCTTGATGTACTATTATATGTTGCCTAACCATGAAATTTATCTGTACATTTTCTAGATAGCTTATCTTAATGCCACTGCGTTTTGGACTCAAAAGGATATTCTTTGGAGGATTTTTCATACTAGGTCACGCTATACACTATGGACACCAATCTCTTTTGCCTGTTCAGTTCTGGTGAGAAACTCTATTATTTTATACTAGGCATCATTATTTAAACACAATCACTAGGTCTTTTATAAGTTCTTTCTTTCCTCCAAAGCATGTGCTTATTCTTTCTTTCATTATTATCTCTTCATTAATATCACCCTTGCACCAAATATCTTTCAATAGGTCCAAGGGAACGCACAAGCTATGTTTTTGCGACATGAAGGTTTCTTGGAGCTCTGGGTGCATTTATGAGCTACGAAAAGCATGGTTTAGATGACCTGATGGTCCATCAGTTAAGTGGAAAGATTCCCGATGGGTGCACCATAACCATTGGAGGGAAGTTTGCTCAGGGGGAGTCTCGTGGCCTTGTATGTCGCTTGCGTCGGTCACGTTTATGGTCTAAAGCAGTCTCCTCGAGCCTGGTTTGGAAGTTCAGCACAGTTATTCGAGAATTTGGCATGATTCAGAGTGAAGCTGATCACTCTGTATTCTATCGGCATTCTGCCTCGAGTCTCTGTATTTATCTGGTGGTCTATGTTGACGACATTGTTATTACCGGCAATGACCAGGATGGTATTACTAAATTGAAGCAACATCTCTTGCAACACTTTCAGACTGAGGATCTGGGCAAACTAAAGTATTTTCTGGGTATTGAGGTCGCTCAGTCTAGCTCAGGTGTTGTGATCTCACAACGAAAGTATGCCTTAGATATTCTTGAAGAGACAGGAATGACAGGTTGTAGACCGGTTGACACTCCGATGGATCCGAATTCTAAACTTATGCCAGGACAGGGGGAGCCTCTTAGCGATCCTGCAAGATATAGACGGTTGGTTGGTAAATTAAATTACCTTACAGTGATAAGACCTGACATTTCCTTTTCTGTGAGTGTTGTGAGTCAGTTTATGGATTCTCCGTGTGATAGTCATTGGGATGCAGTTGTTCGCATTCTTCGGTATATAAAATCAGCTCCAGGCAAAGGTTTATTGTTTGAGGGTCGAGGCCATGAGCAGATCGTTGGATACTCAGATGCTGATTGGGCAGGATCACCTTCTGATAGACGTTCTACGTCTGGATATTGTGTCTTGGTAGGAGGAAATTTCGTGTCCTGGAAGAGCAAGAAACAGAATGTGGTTGCTCGGTCTAGTGCAGAAGTAGAATATCGAGCGATGGCTATGGCGACATGTGAGCTAATTTGGATCAAACAGTTGCTCAAAGAGTTGAAATTTGGTGAGATTAGTCAGATGGGACTTGTGTGTGATAATCAAGCTGCTCTTCATATTGCGTCAAATCTAGTGTTCCATGAGAGAACTAAACACATTGAGATTGACTGTCACTTTGTTAGAGAAAAGATACTCTCGGGAGATATTGCTACAAAGTTTGTGAAGTCGAATGATCAGCTTGCAGATATTTTCACCAAGTCCCTCACTGGTCCTCGTATTAACTACATATGTAACAAGCTCGGTACATATGATTTATATGCACCAGCTTGAGGGGGAGTGTTAGAATAGTCATGTAAATAGGAGTAAATAAATAACCCTAATCCAATATATATTAGGAGTAGGACATGTTATGTGTGTATATATATAGGGCTCATTGTAACATATGTCAATACATCAATAATATATTTTGTCCCGTGCTTTCTCACATAAACCAAAAAGAGAAAACAACTACATGCACTCAGGAGAAAATCATGATCTTGATATGCCGACCTGATTAAACACTATGTAGACCACTAAGGTTCAACTATAATCAATAAAACAAATCCTAGATAATGGATCCTACTCCATGAGAACGTACCTTTGAGTAATCCATACCACCATAGATGTCACCAACAAGCATGTCTATGGTACTATTGTCTCCACGCTGACTGAGCTCTAGCAGTTCATCAAAACTGTGACAGAGAATTGACAGAATCGATTATAATTATGTAATTTTTAGCCCATAATTAGAGCGTTTGGGAATATTCCAAAACTAGTCGGATCTGGAAAAGTATCCCATTAGCACTCATCAAAAAATGGAATACAGTCCCATTGTGCGAAATTGTGATGCTGTTAGCTTTTGCTACCCTTTGTACTTCTCAGTTCTCACTACCTTCTTGGTACTATTATTGATCAAATTTACTTCACCTTATCAGAAAAAGAAAACGAGTGCTGTGAGAGATTGAGCTCATAGATTCTCAAACTTTCTACTTCTCTCTCTATTTATTCTATTCAAACATGAAATGCAAAAGAGGCAAAGGCAGAACACAGTCCATATGCTGCGTAATCAAAAGTACCTCTTGCACTTAGTTAACAACTTTCCCAATCCCCAATATGTACCACCTCCAACATTCGTGCCACTGACCCGCTGAAATTCCCCATCCCCATCAACCTATAATAATGCAAAAAGAAGACATTTAGCAGTTACTCTAGTCTTTTATGAGCTCAATAATACCAAACAAGAAATGAAACAGAGTACCTTGATCATGCTAACACCAGAACCGATGTTCACAAGCAGATATGGAAATAAATCATTATGGTCTATCTGCACAAACTCCTTGTGACCCTCCATATGCGTAAAAGCTTCATGACGGATTGCCTATTAAAAAGCAGTCTTCAGCAATATAATAAACAAATGCAATAATGTAAGCAAAAGTCAGAGATCACTGTCTAACAAACCCAAGTTAAACTATGTTAAACTACGAAAAGCTGCGACCAAAACTGCCTGAATATGAACATCCAACAGACACGGTATATTTTTTCACATGGAAAATAAAGTAGAAAACAACTCCTGAAATAACTTCTGCAAAATAAACTGTGGCCAAGGAAGAAATACTATATGTTTTGATTTCAGCGATATATATGAAAATGGTGTGATTTCCGTGATGTATAGGGAAGCAGTGCAGCTTCCACAGTTCACTGATATAGTATAAAATACGCATAAAAAAGTAACCCCCATAAAGGAAATCTTCTTGCACAACTTACTGATCAGATACTGGAGCACAATTATATTAGAGCTTCCCATGTGAAATTAGAACTTAAACCAAGCAAAAGATGGGAAAAACATTATACTCCCTCCGTTTCAAAAAGATTGTTTTAGTTTGACTTGGCACAAACTATAATAACAAAGGGAAGACTTTTTAGATATGTGGTCTTAAATAAGCCATAACATTTGTGTGGCAGTAAAACTTTTGAAACTTGTGGTCTGAAACCTGCCATAGCATTGTGTGGCTATAAATGTTTCCTATTAAGGAAATATTGAAAGGTGTCAATCTTTTTGGAACAGACTAGTAAGGAAATAGTGACAATCTTTTTGAAACAGATGGAGTAGTAGACACTTGAAACAATACAAAGGAAGTATAGCTGTATAACGACAAGGAGATGAAAGTATGAGAACAACCAAGAGAGTCCTCTTTAAGTACATACCCTCTATGCAACTATATATTTATAAGAAAGAAACTACCTGTACAAACAAAGGAAATGAAAGAGCCATGCAATTATATGTTCGTAAAAATAAAACTATCTGTCAAACAAATGACTGAGAGAGCCTGTAAGCCTATTCCGCATGTACAGCTATATCCAGAAATGCAAAATTCATTACATTCCATCAGCAATTGATAACAAAGACAGTAGCAGAATATTATTGATTTTTTTTTATTACGACGACTAGTTTTCCAGCTTCACATTCTGATATATTCAAAAGTCAATTTCCTTCAATAGTAGCTAGGAAATGCAGAAGCCTACAAGTAAAAGAAAAGTACAAACATGCAGATGCAAAGACCTATGAAGAAATTATTTCATTCATTAATAGCATCACACATGCAGATGTAGGCCTGCAACTACGTCAGAAATCAATTAAGCCTAAAATCTTTTATTATTAATAAGAGCTTTGAGGTGAAGGCAGAGTCCACAATAAAGAAAAAACTGGACTATCTGCATTTTTCTTTAGTAAAATACAAACAACAATTACGTCTTTGTACTTCTCCCAAGAGAAATGCAATCAAGAAAGCAACATTTGAAGCACTGTACTCAGTCACACAAATGTATTGGATCTAACGCTGCCAAGATAGGAGAAATTGCAGAGTAAGACAGTTAAGCAAGAAAAGTTTCATTTTTAGTCTATTGAAGTTCCGTTTGGACATATAGCAATAACCAAACAGACAGGAAATTAGATCTTACCTTGAGTAAAAAGTTTGCACCAGCAACAAGACAATTCATTTCATCTTCTTTCTCTATACTGACTCCCAGCCTTTCCTTGAAAAGATCAGCGAACTTATATGCCCCACCACCAGTAGCCTTTTCACAAAACCAAATCAGTTAAACAGGCATGTGAATGTATGTTTAATTTACAAAAAGTAATAAGTAGCAGCAAACTGAAGTAAAAATCAATTATCAGTTATTATACGAGTAGAGGTACTAGCCGGACAACGGCACTGAAGTGGTAACCAAAGTATGGTGGATTCTATTATTATCATAATCATCAGAGAAGAATGCAATCAAAATCGCACTAGGCCATTGGTAAGATTCCTATTAGAAGTTTCTTGCAAAGGTCAAGGGGCCTTTTCCAGACAAGAATTATGTGCCGTTCCTAAGTAAAAAAAGGGTACAATTACAAAAGCTAGTTTGTTCAACAAAACTGATCTAATATGCTTGTATGGGGGTATATAGAATCAATGTCTCATTACATAAAGATCTCATAAGTTATTATATGAGTAGACGTACTAGCCGGGCAACTGCACTGAAGTGGTAACCAAAGTATGGTGGATTCTATTATTATCAAAATCATCAGAGAAGAATGCAATCAAAATCGCACTAGGCCATTGGTAAGATCCGTATTAGAAGTTTCTTGCAAAGGTCAAGGGGCCTTTTCCAGACAAGAATTGTGTGCCGTTCCTAAGTCACACAATTATAAGTGAAATATACGCCAAGATAATCCCGTAGGTTAAGTAGCTCAAAGTTATCTAATTAATTTACGTCTTCTGCTCTTTGTCTAAGAGTCTACAGTTTAACAGGAAAAGAAATTGAGATTGAGATTTTGTGACACATCCATGCACCCTAACCACCCACCCACAAAGAAGAAAAGAAGAAGCTACTACCAATGTAAGACAAGAGATACTGTTCGGCGAAAAAAAAGGGTACAATTACAAAAGCTAGTTTGTTCAACACTGATCTAAATATGCTTGTATGGGGGTATATAGAATCAATGTCTCATTACATAAAGATCTCATAAGTTATTGTGTGAGTAGAAGTACTAGCCGGAAAACTGCACTGAAGCGGTAACCAAAGTATGGTGGATTCTATTATTATCATAATCATCAGACAAGAATGCAATCAAAATCGCATTAGGCCATTGGTAAGTTTCCTATTAGAAGTTCCTTGCAAAGGTCAAGGGGCCTTTTCCAGACAAGAATTATGTGCCTTTCCTAAGTCACGCAATTATAAAGGAAATATATGCCAAGATGATCCCAGTTCAACAGGCAAAGAAATTGAGATTGAGACTTTGTGACACATGAATGCACCCTAACCCCCCCCCG